TACGTCACTTATGTCCCTTTGGTTGGTACAAATGCCAAGTTCACCCACATCCGCCGCCGTCGCGGATCTGAAATAAGGTCGTGGGGCAAATAAGTGAACCGAACTTAGGGACTTGGCAGACCACTTTTTGGAGGCATCCATCCACGTGTTGACCCGATGCTACGTCACTTATGTCCCTTTGGTTGGTACAAATGCCAAGTTCACCTACATCCGCCGCCGTCGCGGATTTGAAATAAGGTCGTGGGCGAATAAGTCAACCGACCTTAGGGACTTGGCTGACCACCTTATGGAGGAATCCATGTACGATCTGTCTCTTTCTCCATATCGCCTTCCAAAATAAAGCTTGGGACTTAATACAGAGGATCATTGATGTCGCGAGACTTTCGGCTCAGTGGTGGTGCCATCGGCCTCGGTCTTCAAACAGTCGAACATGTGTTTGTCCTTCTCAATTATTGGATCCCTAGACTTCCGAATAACCAGTCCAAATGTGAGGTGTACACAATATTTGCCTGACCTGCCGTTGAGGCTGGTTTCAAAACTATCAATAGCCCTTTGTTAAGAGCATGAAAACTACTTACTTCGAGGATAAGTAATATCGTCTATTGCAATGATAAAAGCATACTTGCTTAATCTTTAGTGCGAGAACCCTGACTTGCCTGAAATGTCGCTTCTATCCTCTGATCCCATGGTTGCCATAGCTAAGTCACGATACTTACGACTCTGGTCCAAATCCTGTTGGAGGTCGCTGATGAGGACTTGGATAGGTGTAAGCTTCTGTCCACACTGGATAAGAATACCTTTTGGGAAGCAAAGCTATGCGAAATTCAATTTCCTTGTGAGACCCGCCTATTTCATTTTGATCAAACTAAAATTCCTCAAATCACTGTCAGTTATTGTTGAGCTCACTTCCATTTCAAGTGAAAGTTTATATTGATGAGATTCGAAGGCTGATCTCGCCAGAAGAGGACTGCAGACATCGGTTGGCTTTACTAGCATATTCTTGCTGATGGTGCCGAGTCTTCATGTTGGAGTACCTCTCAGTTCATATAAAAAAGCGACTGGAAGGGATTCGTAATTTGGCCTCAACGGAAGCTGTGGGATATTGCCTCGAAGCTGTGATTGTAGATTTGTGTGAATAAGACCTCAGCG